CTTGAAACATCCCACCCTCGCCTTCTCCCAGAGTCCACAAGTCTGTTCTATACATCTGAGTCTCTTTTTCTGTTTTGCATATAGGGTTATCGTTACCATCTGCTATGTCTATGTATTTGTTCACATGGCTCCCACTGGCTAGAACGGCTATCTTTGCTGGGAAAAGTCCTTTATCCACAAGGCCCAGGTCTGCCAGATCTCCTCCCACCCTGACAATGAACTCCTTTAGCACTGTTTCTTGTTAACCTTACAGATAAGGACACAGAGGCTGGATATGGCCCACAGCTGAGTTCTGGAGTCCCCAGAAGATAATCCTCAGGTATCTTGATCTTCTGCCATCCCTGGCTTCTTAGCATCAGAGCATAGACACACGGTTCTTGATGTACACATGATAGGGGTCACTGCGCTTGTCCACTTTGCGGGAGCGGGTGTATCCGAGGATGAGACTGCCCACAGTGGCAGCAAAGAGGAACATGACGAAGAGGATGTACATGTAGGAGTTATCATTGCGGCCAGGCGGGCTGGCCCGCTTCTCCTCAGTCAGGTTGTCTGGCCCTGGCCGGCAGAGCAAGTTGCTGTGAAGAGTGGCATTTAAAGCCTTCAGCACAGCGTGCAGGCTCTCATACCAGGTCTCAGTCCCATTGATGGTCTCCATAGCAACAGGGATTGAGGTGGAGGAAGAATCGGAGAATGCTCTGGCAGTGACAGAAAAGAGAGAAGATGGTTTCTGTTACTTAAAGCCTGAGTGACCCTACCATTTCTTCAGACCCCAGCTAAAATCCCTGCCTCACAGTTTATTCTAACTACTTGTTTACCTATCTTCTCCACTAGACTGCAAGCCCGAGGAAGTTAGGGACTGTGTCTGTTTGGTTTTTTTGTTGTTTAAAAATAAATTATTTATTTGATTCTGCTGGGCCTTCGTTGTGGCATGTGGGATCTTTAGTTGTGGCATGTGAACTCATAGTTGCAGCTTGTGGGATCTAGTTCCCTAGATTGAACCCACGCCCCTTGCATTGGGAGCATGGACTCTTAGCCACTGGACCACCAGGGAAGTCCCGCTGTGTCTGTTTTATCCACTGCTATATATGAGCACTCGTGACAGCACTCAGTAGGTGCTCAATAAATACCTGCGGAAGGAAGTTTTCCTTGAGCATTATAACCATGCTGATCTATCCTTTTCTGGGGATTCTACAAGTCACTGAGCTTTAGGCCAGAAGGACCTTAGGAATTATTTAACATTATAATTCTTTCCATTTTACACACAAGGAACCTGAGGCCCAGAGAGACCTGGTGGCTTGTCCATGATCACAGAGAATATTGGAGGTAGAGCCGAGGCAGAGCCCTGCCCTTTGATGACCAGCTCAGAGCTCCTCTAGGCTCCATGCCAGCTCTGGGCAGGACCACGTAACACAGTGAGAAGACATGCCTCAGAACTCTACCACAGCTCCGTTCTTTTTTATGCTCCACAGACACCATGCAGAAGATGTTTGGGGATGGTTTAGATTTCCCCCTACCTCGAGAAGCAGACACTGGGTCTTTTGACCGCTAAAGCATCCTAGGTCCCACTCTAGGTATTCATAGCTACTGAGCAGAAATTCTGTCAGAAAAGAGGTGGCTGGGGAAGCAGGGAGGGGCTGAAACCATTGCAGACACTGGGCCTGAGGGGAGTGGAGTGAAAGGAGCACTCAGTCTGGTTTGGGGTTTTACCTATCTCAGAGAAAAAAGACATTGGCCACCTCCACTACTCTGCCTTCCAAAACAAGATCACTGTGTGTGTACATGGCACATAATGGGTGATAATAGATGTTCCTTTTCCTTATTCTCAGATATCTTTAGTTTACAGCTTAGAAAAACTGCCAAAGACAGCCTTGCATTCTAGTCTCTGGAAAAACACATGTCATTCCTTTTAAACAAGGCTCCACACTCACTTCCTTCAGGAAGCCTTTGTGCACTCCCACCATAATCCACAAGCTTTATCATCACAGCCTTCCCTTTGCCCTAGCACATACATATGAGGCAATGAGAGGCTGTCCTCTTGTTACTGACAAGGGTTATCAGCAGCCACATGCTCCTGGTCAGCAAGGCTATGGTCTCTCCCACCATAGTTGAGTCCAGTTGAGAGGACTACCTTAGCTCTCCTTCCCTTGGTGGTCTTCAGTAAAAATGGCCACTTTGGAATTTTCACATGCCAAGCATTCAGGGTTCACCGAACTGAGTGAACCAATCAAAGTTAGCACACTTGAATATTAACCATAAGGTCTTTTCCCCAGAAAAGTTGACAGTTAGCTATGTTCATAATAAATATTCGTGAACAATGCTATGAATGTAGACGTTGGGAGGAAGAATCTAAGTAGTACAGCAATAACCCAGGACTGGCCCACACTTGGTGCAAGGCGTTTGGGGCCCTCTGCCATCTAGAACTTGGACAAACTTGTCTGGATGGAGGAGGGGAAGAGTTAAGATCTGGGAGGCATAGGTTCTTATGTACTATCCCACTTATCAGGCAAGAAATTTGTGCCTTCCTCTTTCTTCATATGGGCTAATGGAAAGCAGAAGCAGCACAATGAAATCAATGGCTCAATGAATCATCTGGCCAGTCATCACTAAAGGGGCTCACTATTGGGAGCCTCATCCTGGGATCTCCAGGAGGCCAGTCCCTATACTCCGGGCACATCGCCAGTTCTTAATGTGGGAGACAACCTAGGAGCTACTGGGGCTTAAAGGAAGAAGGGGTGAATTCTGATCAGTGCTTGGAGAGTGTTCACAGCAATGGAAGAATTTGAGCTGGACCTTGAAGAATATTTTGGAAGTAGAGGAGGCAAGGGGAAGAATGAGAGGGATAGAGGCATGATAACAAGAAAGCATGTTTTGAAGAATGGAAAGTAGCAAAAAGAGTGTAATATGCCTGGAAGGATAAGATATGGGATGGAGATGCTGGTCCAAACCAGATCAGTGAGGGCCTTGAGTACCAGACTGCAGAGTTGGAACTATATCGTGTAAGTGGAGAAGAACCACAGAATGACATTTTAAAGGTGGGGTTAAATGATCAGATCTGTAATTGGAAAGGACTCTCTGGCTGCCATGTGGAGTGCGGGAGTGAAAGGGGCAAGAATGGAGGCAAGGAGCCATGTGACAAGTGAAATAATCTAGGTTCAAGATGCTGAGACCTGAGCTGAGTTGGAGGGGATGACAAGGTGGGGGCAGGGACAGATGGAGGATGTGAGGGGCACTTGAGGGAAGGGATAGCTAGTGTAATGGTTGCAGGAAGAAGGGGCCTCAGATAGTTTTATAGGCAGACAACAGACAGATGGCATAAATGCTAGAAGAATTCACTTTGAGTAAAATAAGTTTCTTGCCCTGTTTGCGCTGCAGTTTCCTCATCTATCAAAAAAGATTATCACCAGGAATTGTGGTTCAATGGGTAGAGTTTCAGTTTTGCAAGATGAAACGATCTAGAGATCTGTTGCAAAACAATGAATGCTACTGAGATGTGCTATTAAAAATGGTTGAGATGCTAACATTTACATTGCTTTTTTTTAAAACCATATTAAAAATTTCATTAATTAGAAAGAAGAAGAAGATTATTATCTCTTCTCTGCCCCCTCTTCAAGCTTGCTTGAGCATATAACATTTATTATGGTGAAGAGGATTTTTAAAACACATTTTAGTTAAAAAAAAAAGACTATGGCTTTCATTAAAATGAAAATCTACTTGTTGTTTTTATGAAGTAAATATGTATACATGATGAAAAACAGAAGCAGTATGCACAATGAAAATGCAGTCTCTCTGTTCCCAGTGGCCCAGGTTTCCTTCCCAGAGCAGATACTGTCACCACTTCTCTTAGATATCCTTGTGAGGGGGTTTGGACAGGGCAGGTGGAGGGCCACCTCCCCCGGGAAGGCTCACGGAACAGCAAGCAAATTCACTGGCTCCTTGTCAGCTCCAGGAATCTCCCTGTGGGTGTCCCAAGGCTCCTTAGCTGCTCAGCCTCTTCAGGACATCCCTGGACACATCTGAGGTCTCAGCGTGTGTAAGGGGCAGCACACTGACTGGAACCGCCCACCCTGGCCAGGCACCATAGTAACCATTTGCATGAGTTGTTTTAGGACAGGAGATCCTGGTAAGGAACACGGAACTAACAAGCCTCCACCAACGGGAATAGTTCAGGAAAGGTCAAAAGAAGACACCACCTGTCCGACCACCTCCCAGAATCCTTCTCTCTGGCATCCATGTTGGCTGAACAAGACATGCACCACCAGGAAGGGCTCTGAGTCAGAATGATTGGCTAAGGACAACCCGGAAACTAATCCCATCACCATAAAACCCAAGACTGCGAGCCATGTGACAGAGCTGTTCTCCTGGGTTCCCTGACCCTCCAGGTGGCCTTTCCCAATAAAATCTCTTGCTTTGTCAGCAGATGTATCTCCTCGGACAATTCATCTCTGAGTGTTAGACAAGAGCCCAGTTTCGGGCCCTGGAAGGGGTCCCCTTTCCTGCAACACATGGACTTTGGAAGCTGGGAAGGCCCAGACCTGGTGGGGCTGGGAGACAGAAAAGGAAGGAACTAGACACACAGGAAAAAAAACCCTCAGAACCAGGGTGGATTGCCTAAGGCCAAGCCCCAAGAATTGTGCAGTAACTTTACTGTGGATGATAACTCCCTCCCACTTCCCCTCCCCTTCCTGCAGCAGCAGGATCAGGCCAGCCTAGGATTGTAGTTAAGGGAACTGTGCCATGGCCAAGGGACCCCCGATTGCCGTCCCCCAACACCAGGTTCACAATGTCTCAACTGGGTGACTTCATGAGAAACCTCAGTTCAATACGAGCTGCTGCTCAGGGATCAGCTAAGAGTGCAGTCTAAAACATCCCCTTATGGGACTTCCCTGGTCCAGTGTTTAAAAATCCACCCTGCAATGCAAGGGATGTGGGTTCGATCCCTGGTTAGGGAACTAAGATCCCACATGCCTCAGAGCAGCTAAGCCCACTTGATGCGACAACTGAGCCTGTGTGCCACAACTAGAGCGTCCAGGTGCCACAGTGAAAGAGCCTCTATGACACAAAAGAGATCCCTAGTGCCACAGTGAAGACCTGATGCAGTCTAATAAATAAATCAAAACATTCCCTTTCCCCCAGAGTACTGACACCTCGTCAGGAGTGTCTAAAAGGCTGAAAGCGCCTGAGACCCAAGGAAATGATGTGAGTGGCAGAATGGCAGCCAGAAATGGGTTGCTGTTTTACATAGGAAAAAACCATGTTACCAATCCGCCTAAGTGGAAAGACTGGATATAAACACAGGCATGACATCAACACTGTAGGATAGCTTTGTTGTGAAGATTAAAGGAGAAAATGAGGGAGTGCATGGCACTAGACACTCCACAGATGTGGTGGTGGTTTTATTTGTGCAGAGCAGAGGCTGGCAGGGCCTTCAGAGTCCATCTAGTCTAACCTCCTTCATTTTACAGTGAAAGAAATGAAAATCAAAGAGCTGTCTTGGTTCAGCTGCTACCTGTGTGACTTTGGGTATGTGACTTCCCTTTTCTGGGCCCCAGCTCCTGTGTGTATCTGTAAAATGAAGGGATTTTACTGTGTGATCCTGTAAGGTCTCAGTCAGCTTTAACATCCCATGAAGATACCATAAAACCACACTGTGAGATTTGGGAGACTGGGTAGGCTGGTGGGAGAGGATTTAGGGGGTTCTCTAGAGTCCCGCAGATGACAAGATAGAGAAGACTGCAGACTTCTTCCTCCAAGATTAAGATTCTTCAGAGTCCCAGGACTGTTACATTTAATATTCCAGCCCAGATAAACTGAAGGCCAAATCTGTTGACTTGTTCATTTTTCCTCTTTATAGCTCACCTGCCAGTGAGATCTAGCCTGGGAAAGACAGACTCTGTGTTAGAAAGTGGGGTTAGGGGGAAAGCATGGAGGACAGGGTGGGCTCTGAGGTGGGGTTCAGTGAAGAAAGTAAAGGTTCACAAAACCATTCATTCCTCAGACTTTCTTCCAGCTTCTCTCTGGACAAACTGGTTGGATATTTGTGGTTCTGATGGAGGGCACAAAAGAGTCATAGTTGCCTGTCTTTAGAAGCTAAGTTGAAGTGGGAGGGAGGGCCTGTGTGCAAGGGCATCCTGTGGCTTCAGGAGAGGCAGAGAGCTCTTAAAGGGACAGCTTGGTTCTCTGTGACCTGCCTCCGGGTCCCAAGGCAGGGATTGGCAACTGGCAACATGGGGCATTCCGTTCCCCTCTCTGAGCTCCTTGGCTCCCCTCTTCAAAATAATCTCTGATTATGAAGCTGTTCAGACGGAGCTTCTGCCCTGAAAGTCCTTGATTGAAGCAGGAAATAATCAAGAAGGAAGATGAACAGTGACTGAAAAGAGATTCTAAAGACCATTTAGAATCTAGATCCTCAGTCAGTCCTTCCATTTTGTAGCTGAGAAAACTAAAGGTCAGACAGGGGAAGTGACTTGTCCAAAATGACATGGTTGGTAAATGGCAGAGCTCGGATGAGAACCCACATCTTTGGGGGTGCTGTGTAGGTGCTCTTTCCACTACAAATGGCAATGTCTTCTGGCATCTGAGTTGTATTTCCCACCAAACACAGGCTCCTCGTGTCCTGGGGCATCATATCCTATAAGTCCACCACTACTGCTTTTTCCTGCATTACAGACTCTCATGAGTCTTTTCTTTTTGGTCATACCACCTGGCATGTGGGATCTTAGTAACCCTACTGGGGATAGAACCTGCACCCCCTGCAATAAAGCGTGGAGTCTTAACCACTGGACCACAAGAGAAGTCCCTCTCACCAGTCATAACTGAGGGTCCAATAAAGGCAGAAGTTGGTGACTTTGGGAGAAGTTAACCCTCTCTGGCGGCCCAGATGGTAAAGAATCTGTCTGCAACGGAGGAGACCAAGGTTCGATCCCTGGGTCGGAAAGATCCCCTGGAGAAGGGAATAACTACCCACTCCAGTATTCTTGCCTGGAGAATTCCATGGACAGAGGAGCCTGGCGGGCTTCAGTCCATGAGGTCACAAAGAGTCAGACTCGACTGAGTGACTAACACTTAACCTTCCTTTACAGTCTTTCCCATGGTCCTTTCTGCTCCAGATGTACTTCTGCTCCCCCATACAAACCAAGTGCACCCTCTTCCTCCACACCCTGGTGCTACTCTTTCCTGCACATTAACAGGTTTACCCAAAGCTGACCTCTTTCTTGGGAGTGGAGGCAAAAAGCTGTGACCTGAAGGATAAACTGGGTATCTTAGTGAGGTTTTCTTTCAGGTTTCTCTGGGCAGAAGTAAAACTCCACTGTTGGTTTTTTGGTTTCCCTACTGCTCTGTTTCAGCTACCCTTCAAGAATGTCTGAAGTGCTTGGAAGTGTGGTAGAAAGGCAGGAGAAAGGGGTCACATAAAGCAGGTAGGAAATCCAAGGATAACTCCTGGGACTGCAAATTTTGCCTCTGGCCCGCCTGGTGGTCTTGTCACCACCATGGGCTGGTGTGAAAGAAAGCTTAACATATAGTTAGACGGAAACAAAGAAATAGAATCTGAGCTGGAAGGGAACTTAACAATCATGTCACTGGTATAACCCCCTCATTCAACCAGTGGGAAAAACCATACACTTCCCCCCCAACCCCCCGCCCCCGAGAGGAACTCACTTGCTCAAGGTCTCACAGCCTAGGAACTGGGACCAAAAACAGTTATTGCTGTATCTTTTCACTATAAATTCTGTTACCATAAGACAGTTTAACCTCTGCTGATTATCATTCAAGCTCCTTTAGATATGACCCTGCCTCCAGCCTCATCTCACCATGTCTCTCCCCATTGCCCATGCCCCATGATACTGAGCTACAGGCCATTCTCCAAACATTCCTTGCATTTTGCCCTCTCTTGCTTTTGCTCATGCTGCTTGCTGAGGCAGAAATGCCCATCCTCTTTTTATCTGCCTGGCGAACTCCTACACATCCTTCAAGACCCAGCTCCAATGTCACCTTGGTAGACCCTCTCCTGAGACATCCTCTTCTCCACTCCCTAGCCAGTTAAGTCTCTTCCTCTTGTCTGTTCCTGAAGGGCTTTGCATAAAATCCTAATAGAGCACTATACTGTACTGACATTGGGTGTGTATATCTATATAAATATAAACAGATAGAGATACATATGCTAAACTGTGAGCTGGGAGGGGTGAGAGGAGGGACTTGTGCATCAAAGTTTCTTTATAGTAGGCACTCAAGAACAGAGGGATAAATATCTCTTCTTATTAGACTAGTCCCTCCTGCACACACAAATACGCATTCATGAAAGCACTTACAAAGCAACTTCAAGGGCAGGCCGAAACAGATTCCTTTTGGTCATGGGCAGGGGAAGCTCAAAGAAAAGACACCATTTTGGTCAGGTGGGGAAGTGAGGTCGGGGAGGAAGCATTCTCAGCCACCTTTGGAAGCACAGATTTCCCTGCACCTGAACCCTATTCAATCCAAAGGGCAAACATTATTGGCCTGGAACACCAGCAGCGGCTTTGCAACCCTCTTCCCTGTGTACCTACCCGGGGTGTGGCTACACACACCCACCTGCTGCACACACACAGTCCAAATCCCAGTCTCCCAGCCTCTAATCTTGCCTTTCAAGTGTGCCTTTCATGGTTCCAATCCCGGCTGTCTGCTTGGCTGTGTGACCTTGAGCACTGCATTTATTTCCTCTGAATCTCATCTATGAGATGGGTATAGTTACCCACCCCCCAACTTGCCTCACATGGCAATTTGGAGAGACACCATGGGGGGAAAGCGTTTTAGAAACTGCAGGGACTTCCCTGGTGGTCCGGTGGCTAAGACTAAATACTTTCAATGCCGGTGGCCCCAGATGGATACCTGATAGGGGAACTGGATCCCATATGTCAAAACTAAGAGTTCCCACTTGCTGCAACTAAGACCTGGTACAGTCAAATAAATAAATATTTAGAAAACAAAAAAAGAAATTGCAACATATCATATAAACATTAGAATTACTGGGCAGCCGGTCACTGTTTCCTTTTCTGTTTCTCTATCTACCTCCCCCACCCTGCCCCCCAGTATTACCAAGAACAGCCAACTCTATGTCTCCTCTCCCCTCCCTTCCTCCTCTTACCCTCAGAGGAAGCCAGGAGGTTCTTTATTATTCTTGATTCCCAGATACACTTACCTCTTTCAGAAATAAAGAGTAACTTTCTTGTTTCTCATCCTTTCTGATCAGCCCTGTAATCTCTCTCCATTTAGGGGTACTATTCTGTAGTCCTGCTGGTGATAGAGAACACAATGGAATTGAAGTCAAGAGACCTGTCCTGTTTTGCAGGTGTGTCTAGCCGTGTGTCTTGGTTAAGTCATTTCTTCACTCTGGACCTCATTCTCCCCATCAGTAAGATGGGCTTTCTTGTCTTGCTACCCTCTTAGTAGGAATTTGGAGCGTTCACCTATTCAGTTTATAGGTAAAATGTGTTTTGCAAAGTGTGGAGTGAGAAAGGAATGAAGGTTGTTTGTTATTATCTCAAGGAATCAAGAAAATCTGAAAGCAGTTTCCTTGCCTCCAGTATGGCTCTCCCCCACTTAGAGCCAACAACTGGTTGGATACCAGAAGATAAGGAGCAGCTGACACATCTACAATGCAGCTTGTAGCTGAAGGGGCTTCCCTGGTGACTCAGTGGTAAAGAGTCTGGCTGGCACTGCAGGAGACACAGGTTCAATCCCTGCTTAGGGAAGATTCCCCTGGAGAAGGATATTCTTCACTCCAGTATTCTTGCCCGGAAAATCCCACTCAGAGGAGCCTGGCAGGCTCCAGTCCAAGAGGTCGCAAAAAAGTTGGACACGACTTAGTGACTGAACAACAGCAACAACTTGCTGAAGTGGAGTCAGCCCTGAGCTAGGAGTGAGGAGAATTGAGTTCTACTTCTGTCTGTGACCCTGGGCAAGCCATCTCCTCTTGGACCTCAATTTTCTCATAGGCAAACTGTTGATAAGTGGGAAGAGGGGATATCAGGCGATACTGCTCCATGAACCCTCACACAAGGGTCTAAACTCCTGTACTTTCTACACCAGAGACTCCCGGGTCCAGTCCCTCTTCCCCACAGGCCAAGTGGAGTACATGGGCAACGGGACCGGGCGGCTCACCTTACAGGTGGTGACCCAAGAAGAGAAGGCGCAAAGCATAGAGCAGGTAGGTGGGAGATGGGCACAGCTTCACACGACCCGTAAACTAGAAGGCAAGTCTCCAGACTCCCAGCCTAGACCTATGTTACTAGCGGTAGAATATGGCTAAGGGGGCCCCCAAGGCTTTTCCCGGGACTGGGGCACCTAGGACGAGAGACACAATGAAGTGGCGAGCTGGCAAGTCCACCCGTAGAGCTAGCGGCTCCCGCCGGGCGAGAAGACGCGCGTGTGCGCTCGCGGCGGAGCCGCAGGTGTTCGCTCGCACATCTGTGGATGTGGAAGGAGCTTTGGTGCCGCCCTCCCCGGGCCTGTGGGTGCTGACCCCAAACCCCAGGTTTCCGGGCAAGGCGTGCCAGGGGCCCAGCCTCGCCACGTGCGCCCCGGGATCCCTGTGGCTGGGTCCTAGAGAGGAGGGGTCTGTACCCGAGCCGCCCCCAAGGTCGGGTCGCCGGCCTCCAGGGAGGCGGTCGGATCGCTCATTTCTATCCCTGGCGTCTGCTGGGCCTTCCCGACCTGGCGAGAGCGTCTTACCTGCCCATCGGTAAGGCTCCCAGGAGCGCAGTCTGTTGGACTCTACGCCCTGGGCTCGCGGGTGCCCCGCACTGCGCCCCAAGGCACTCCTCCAGCCCCTCGGCTCGCAGTCCGCGCCGAGCACTGCCTGCGCCCCCTCGGCTTCGCGCTCCGACCCGCGCTCTGCTGCCTTTTCCCTTCCCCTGGGCGTCCCCACCTCCGGCCCCGCCCGGCCCCTAACCCACCCACTTCTCCTCCCCAAGCTGGCTTTGGGCACCTCCGCCCAGCTGCTTGGCCTCACAGCTCTGTGGGTTCCGACCCTTCCGTCCCCTGCAGCGCCTGCTTCCTGGACCAGAGACCGACTGTTTTCTTGCTTCACGTCAGCTTGCCGGGTCTGAGGAGGCAGAGAGCCCGGTGGTGGTGGAATCCGACTTTACTCCTCCGTGATTGTGTGGTGGTGGACAAGTCACTGCTCCTCACTGAGCCGCGACTTCCTCGGAGTAAAATGGGTACAATTCTTGCATGCATTCTTCACAGGGTGATGGTTAGCATCAGAGATCTAAGAATCCAAAATACTAAACCCAGATGGTCACTGGAGAATCATCTGATTCTAACACAAACCCTCTTTTCCAGACAGGATACAGTTTGGGGAAGGGGTCCAGTTTGGGAAAGGGTGAGCCCAGGCTCACCAAGGAAGTCGCTGGTGGAGCTCAGACTCAAAATGCACTAGGCCACTCTTTCCCCTTAACCAGTGTCTCCAAGTCTCAGCAGTCCCTCACATACGCAGACAACTGGTGTCCAGACACATCTCACTGCTACCTGTCCCACACTCCATATGCTTTCTGGCCATTAGACCCTCACTCAAGCTATTGCTTCCTTACTGCAGACACTGCAGGTTCCAAAGAAAAGAAGCAGCCAGGGGCAATTGGGAAATGAGAGCCAGGAGGCCAAGGCCATGGAGTGGATGGTGGGAGCAGACTCTCAGGGACTCTGTGGGGATCCGCATCAGAGACCTCTTTGCCAGCCTATGGCCTTGGGATAGCTATTAACAAACTGAGGTCAGCTCTGACTCCTGTGCAAAGAAAACATCTGAGGCATATACCCTCAATCACAGAACCTCAGATTCTATCTAAGAAGTGCTATCATTCAAAAAAGGCCTATCCCATGGAGGGAATGTTGTAGAAAATTGTACAAAATATTCATCAAAACACCATACTTCTGTAGTTTCATATTTTGACCCAGATACTTCTTTTTCTCAGTCTGTATATCATCTCTCAGAGAAATCCCTTAGCAGGCAGTCTCAGATTTCAGCCTACTTAAGAATCACCTCGGCCCTTATTTTAAGTGAAGTAGACTTTTGGGTTCCACTTCAGAGTTTCTGATTCAGGAGATCTGGAATAGAGCCCAGAAATTAGTTGTTTTTCTTTTTTTTTTTTTTAAGAAAGCTTCCGGAAAGATTGTGATGCAAGTGGTTCTTGAGACCAGCCTTGAGGAAACAAGCCCTGCCTCAGTAAGCCTTCCTTCCCACATCCTGCCAAGGCCTTGCATCTAATCTATAGAACTATTTATTACAGTTATCAAAAGTAACTATTTGTCTACCTCATCTGCTAGGCTGTGAGTTCTTTGAAAACAGGGACTGTTTCTTGTCCTAATAAAATTTTGGAATCACAGCCTTAGAATCATCCTATGTGTTTTTTTAGCTGGGGAGCACATACAGAATCCCTGTGAATCACACATACATATTAAAACCTTCCTGGTAAACCTACACCAATAGTTTCCCCTATGAATGATTTTTTTAAAAGTAAGTATATACTACAGTTCAGCATTTGAGAGACTTCTGTATCTATTATTACAAAGGTACTAAGAAATACATTTGTTTTTTTCTTCTGGTTCTCTAAAACTTTTAATGTATTTGTTTGTTTGTTTTGGCTGCACTGGGTCTTGTTGATGTCACAGGCTTTCTCTAGTTGCAATGTGAGGGTTTCTCATTGTGCTGGCTACTCTTGTTGCAGAGCATGGGCTCTAGGCACATGGGCTTCAGTAGTTGCCTTGTGTGGGCCCTGTAGGTATGGTGCATGGGCTTTGTTGCTCTGAGGTATGTGGGAATCTTCCCAGACCAGGGATCAGACCCACCTCCCCTGCATTGGCAGGTGGATTCTTAATCAGTGGACCACAAGGGAAGTCCCTGAGAAATACATTTGGATACTTGAAAAGAAGCAAGACTGGAAATGTGGTTTTATGTTACAAAATTTAGAAGATCTCAGTTACCAAACAACTAAAAATACACAACAGATAAATAGGAATTTCTTAACATCATGGTCTCTAACAATGCAAAAATTAGGTATTAAGGCATCTTTTACTCCCATCTATCTGCAGCAAAGAGAAATATTTTAAATAGGAACCAGCACTTCTATTCAAATACTTTCCGATGCATTTGGCAGATTTGTTTTTATATTCTCCTGTTCAACATTCCATTGAAAGTTCTCATAATTGAACATTGTGACCCAAACCAAGAGAAAAGTATCAATATAAACAAACGCATTTATTAAAAAGGAGCAGTTTGCCCTTGAAAAGAAAAAGGAACTACAAAGAGAATATTATGTATAAAGTACAAATACTAGTGTTTAAATTTCTCTGAAGCAATTTATGCTTCAGTAATTAAGAGAAAGAAGTGATGAAGACTTTATTAAGATGAGGAGCCTATTAATATGCATCATGCTGTGGGCTAATTGTTCACTCATTATTCTGTTCCACTGGGATGAGAGTTTGAAAAGAGCTTTATATTTCTCTAGAAAAAATTACATCCACTAGACTAAGATCACATAAGTTAACACTGATTATTCCCTATATCTGTCATTTACAAAGCTCAAATGGCTTCATAAAGTATACAATCAGTAACATTTTTACCTTTTATTAAGGCAAGTTTGTGAAAATAATTTAATACAACCAGATAGCCACGTGACTTTCAGCTTAAAACATTTTTAATGTGAGAAATAGACCAACAAAATCTGTTTTCTAAAAAGACACTTCAGTCCTAGAAAAGAGTAACAAAAGATTTTGAAAGCAGTTTATTTTTTAAAGGATACTCTTCCCATGTCTCAAATTCCAAGTGCTGTTCATCATCTGCAGAGCCAGTTTTGTTTGACTCAGTTCAGTTCAGTTCAGTCACTCAGTCGTGTTCAGCTCTTTGTGACCCCATGAACTGCAGCTCGCCTGGCCTCCCTGTCCATCACCAGCTCCCAGAGCTTACTCAAACTCATGTCCATTGAGTCGGTGATGCCATCCAATCATCTCATCCTCTGTCGTCCCCTTCTCCTCCCACCTTCAATCTTTCCCAGCATCAGGGTCTTTTCCAAGGAGTCAGTTCTTCCCTTCAGGTGGCCAAAGTATTGGAATTTCAGCTTTAGCATCAGTCCTTCCAATGAATATTCAGGACTGATTTCCCTTAGGATGGACTGGTTGAATCTCCTTGCTGTCCAAGGGACTCTCAAGAGTCTTCTCCAACACCACAGTTCAAAAGCATCATTTCTTCTGTGCTCAGCTTTCTTTATAGTCCAACTCTCACATCCATACATGACTACTGGGAAAACCATAGCTTTGACTAGACAGACCTTTGTTGGCAAAATAATGTCTCTGCTTTTTCATATGCTGTCTAGGTTGGTCATAACTTTTCTTCCTATATCAATCCAATTCCATCCTTGAGGAAGTTCTCCTTCATAGTTTGTTTTATCTGCTAACTTATGTTTCTGGAATTCTGGTTTTTATTCACTATTTTTTTTTTAAATTGAGGTATACTTGATTTACAATGTTGTGCTAATTTCAGCTGTATACCAAAGTGACTTAGTTATGCACATATGTATATTCTTTTTTATATTCTTTTCCATTATAGTTTATCCCAAGAGATTGGATGCAGTTCCCTCTGGGCTTTTGAAAGTCGTTCTTTTCTTTGTCTTTTTTCCTCACTTGATGGGCTGTGTTAGGATTTTCAACCAAGATGTTATTGCTTTTGGATGTGGTAGAATTAATAGGGAAGGTGATTCTCCATAAACTGCTCTTTATTATTGTTGGTGTATTCAAACATGTAGTTCACGGTGGTCCTGAGATTAACATTCACTGCTTCCTGTAACTTGGCTGATAAATTCTGCTTTATACCTGATGATATGGTATTAAAAGATGCGTTCATAGACATGACTGGAGGTGTTTGAGGATTTGTTTTGTCCAATAAACCTCTGTGAAAAAGGCTTTGGAATCACCATTTTCTACTATCCTGTACTGAAATGAAACTGAACTTAATTCCTGGAAACTTTTCATCTCCTTCATAAATAGCACATGGTGCCTCCAATTCCATCTCCTGGTCTTTCCTGGCACTCAGCATGCTGGTTGCAGGGTACCTCCCTTGGACTACATTCAAGACAGCAAGAGAAAATGAGGGCAGTGGCTCCGAGGCTCTTAGCTGTGGGAGGCACACCCTTCACTGGGCAGAGAGAGTCACGCACATGCCCCCAGCCCTTGGGGTGTGTGAAACTGGTGGCTGGGGAATGGGCCAGATTTAATTTTTGACAACAGATTGATCAGCTTCTCTTGCACACCTCTAGTGACTAGGAGCTCATTGCCTCCAAGGGACCTGAGCTCTGAGTGTTAGGATATTTTCACATTTTAACAAATACTGCCTTCTATAGGACCCTTCGGTCCTTGTGCCCAATGGAGACATCAAGTACATGCTTTGTTCCTTTTTTCAGTTCTTCAAAACTTTAGGTCTATCTTCCACTTCCTTTGGAGTGAGGATGGGGCAGGAACCCTGTAAGGGAAAGCAGCTGGCCAAAGGGCCAATGGAAAGTGGGCTAGACTACCTCATTTCCCCATCTGTGACTTTCAGTCTTACGATGAGGCTTAGATGACCCAATGTGTAACATGCCAACAGTATGATGCCCATGCTTAATAAATGGCAGCTTCCATTATTATTAGATGAGAAAAGGAAGAATGAAACAGAAGTCCTATTCTGGACAAATCTGAAGACTTTCAGGGAACTCTCTAATCCAGAGAGGTTGGGGACAAGGCCTGGACCTTAAAACAAGGAG